GAACTGCAGTAACTTCGCCTTCTAAGTTAACTTCCATCATAAATATATGTATCTTCTATCAAAATTCGACAGCATTAAAGCTCTACTGGCGAATTCAGACAAGATTTATATTACATTAAATTTAGTCCAAAAATTAACACAATCAAGAGTGCCTAGTTCGATTTCATTTTTGCACTTGACTTTAGGACTTTTTTTTTAGATAGGTCTATTGAATTCTTTAGAAATTGAGACAATTAAATTTTGTGAATAAAAAAACATCATAAGAGTCGTGTTAATGTGATGAATGTAAGTACATACTCTCATTAAAAAAGCGTAGCGTGTCCGTACCGTAGTTCGAATTTATTTAAAGTGGAATCAAATTAGAATAACTACAAAGGTAGCTAATAATACTAAAGTAAAATTCGATTAAATTTGAAATTATATTGCGGAAAAATCATTCAAAGTACTCGAGTCAAATGTTTGATTTGCAGCAAAAGTTTTGCATTTTAAAGGAACCATTTCTAGGAGCGGCAATAACAAATATTATGAGGTAAATAAAGAAGCAATGTTCATCAAATCAATTAAAATGTTGGAATGGAAGCAAAAGCATTATTGATCAGAGTCAATAATATAATTAACCGCTCGAGTATCATTTGCTATTTCTTTGATTACGGGTCCGTTTACTCGTCTCATTTACAGTGTAATTAAAAGGGAAATATAAAGTTAGAAAATAAGAAAATATTAATATTTCTGCAAACATTGGATGATATCTTACTCGATACGCTTTTTTATGAGAAATAATTAATATGGCAATTTAAATAAACTGACCATCTGCGGTGTTTTTAAAAATAACGCCATATACTTAATGAGTTGTATAATATTATAGAACGCTTCATTTATAAAATCTATACGTGTACTTATTAATAATAATGAAGAGTATATTGTTTGATGAAAGGCGATTAATCTCAGGAACTTGAAAATTTTATACGATAAGCCAATCAAGGCAACATATGGGTACATAAATAACACCCCAGTTTTATACTATTTAATAAGGCAGAACAGAAAGATATACCAAAAATGGAAAAAAATAGGCACTTTTTCTTTTTAACTGCATTTGGGCGCATATTTGAGGAGATAATATAAATGGTGAAAATGGTGCGCGTCTCGCTCGCTATCTGAATCGGCCGCCATCGACACAGAAGTATAAGTATGCATACTGGAAAAATTTCTGAATTTTATGTGTGTGAAGCCAAGAGGGTTTGTAACTGTATAGACGGCTAAGATACGTGATTTAGAAAAAAATAAAATGTAACAGATACCATAACAACGAATGAATACGAGTTACAATTAACAATATAACCATGCCATCTCAAATGATTAAATCTTCCAAATCTGTATTACAAATTGTAAAAACAGAGTAGGTATCTAGAATAATCGCTTCTAGAATTTGGGATAATCGCGTCGACTGAAACTTCTATGTAAACAGTTTACAAGCATGTGCGAATACGTCAGCAAAAAACAAGCGAAGAGACAGTTATTGAGTTTAAAAAATAAACTACACCTATAAAATATTTGATTGACGTTATCGAATTCTACCTGGTTATTTTTTCTTACCTCCGGAACGGATTTGAACGAACACGGTACAAAAGCTTTAGGTGAATAGGTTTTTCAGTTAAAAACTGTTTCGTTTATAAAAATGTTTCATCAACGGACGGGAACGGTGTATGGTTTACTTTTAAAATTCGATTTTGTGAGTGTTTACCAAATTGTGAGCGTAAACAAGGAATAGATTTAATGTCATTTTCTTACAATAACTGCTAAAGTAACAATCTCCTCAAACACCGCGTTGTTACACTGATAAAGTATGATAGCAGTAAAAATATTTGTTATTAGGTTTTTTATTAGCTACTTCAATCCAAACATATGTAAGTTAGTATAATTATCTTACATCAAATAGAATGTGGCCCTTGGATATTCCCTAGTGGGACTCCTGAGTTCGCATAATCCATTTCCTCGTGTCTAATGTTTTATTTATTTATTTTTGGGATGTCGGTATAAATAAATTGTTTTTTATGTATGTGGATAACATGTGATTCAGGAATACTGAGAAATGGAATTTAAGTTGTTCATTTTTATAATGGAATTTTTATTTGACCTCATCGAAAGTTTTGGTAAGATCGTGGCACACTGTACCGTGACTAACTTTTGTAATATCTTAAGCAGCACTAGCATAGTTATTAAAAGTAGCGGACTAAAAAACTTCTTATTTTTTAAGAAGGTTCAGTCTATTTGTAGTTAGCATTGATGTTGGCTTTGCGTGGTCAAAGTAATACTTTTCTAAAAATATAAGAGATTCTGGGTATGTTTGTGAACGCCTGATTGATAATTATTCTCTTTTTCTCGACTTGACACACTTGTAATTAGGTTTAAAATTACGTAGACAACAGTTTTAAAAGAAACTATACCTATGTAATATTTATTTTAAAAATGTAATCAGGTTTGTCTTAACTTTTGGGTATCGTTATAGTCGTTTGAATAAGTAATCGCATAAAACATGGTGCGCGATCTGCGTCAAGGGTAAAGTTAGAAAGTTCAAGTCGAGATCCTTCAAGTCATATTATGCTTTGAAAACAAGAACCCTTGGCAAATGCAATGAATCTGCATATTTATTGGCCTCTGAGGACCTAACCTTTGTTAATTTACAAATTGAAACGTGGACTAAACAAAATACCGTTTGCAATAAAGTTTGGTATTGATGCAATTTAATAGAAAGCATAAAACCTTTGACAACGTTTGTTTATCAATTACTTGAATGCGTATGTGAGGTCTAGTTGCAATTTTTCAAAGTGAGTTAATTTGATTGATAGTGGCGACAAAGTTTAACCGTAAACAATTTCAAGCCCACTCAGTTCATTTTAAACGTTACTCAAAGAAAATTGTACTCGAAAAATACCAATCAGTATAAAATTATCCGCTTCATTTATTTCTCTTCTTCTACATGAATATTCAGGCTTTACACTTTATTTTTTAAATAAATTAACACGTTAAAGGTCAATTTCACAACTTTAATATGAATCAATCGATTTTAACCGAAATTGGCAGTATCCAAATATCCTAGTTCCGTACGAATTCTAAATTTCTAATATAACCTGTCTATCTCAATTACGGAGTTACCGCTATATTGAAACTTCACAGACTGTCGACATTCATTGCTGGGAGTTGAAAACAGTTATTAACACACTGGTAGCTGAGAATAGTAAAATCAGGGTTTGTAGTTAGCGGTTAGCATGACTGACAAACATATGTACCTATCCAATTAAAACTTCAATTCTAAAACCGCGTAACCACTTAACCAGCTTCCAAAACCGTCTGGTTATTTTATGGAAATGTTTTCAACCGCTTTATATTCGGGTTACATTAATTTTAATTTTTATTCGAATTCTGCTTTCAATCAACTTACTTAATATTCATGTTTAAAGTCCGTAATTTGGTACGAGACACTACAAGTACAAATTAAAATAATTTTTGTTTTTGTAAGCTGATTATCTTATATTCATGAAATATTAATATTAATTATCTGTACGATTAATCGTTTGTGTATGCATTTTTGATGATTGATTCTGTTCCATCGAAATATAATCCCACCACACCAATGTGTGGTGGGATGATGCAATGCATTCAATCGGCATTGGTTCAATATCTAATATGCGAATGGGAATCATTTGTAACTGGGACATCTGTATCCATTAGACAATTATTACGGTCGTGCGGCTTCAAATCCAATACGAAAATTAACCTTTTGCGTAAAATTAGGAGTGCAATGTCGGCTGTTGCCACGACATGAGCCATTCATCGGTCACATTGCTATTCTCTACCTGCATTAAATTGAATGATATAATAACACGATTTGTAAGGCCAGTGTAATTTGTTACACTACTATGACTACCAAATAATTAAGAAGTAATTATATTATTCAACAAATAGAATTAAAGTACTTACGAACAATAGTCAGCTATGTCGCAAGAATGCAATCAAAATGCAAAAAAACTATCCAATGAAAGAAAAGTCAGCTATTTCATTCGATTTGTACTAAATGCTTCCGACGAGGCAAATAATTAGTGCACAGTCCTAGAGAGCTTCACTCTCGGTGTCTGCAAAATGATCATTTAATTTGTAGTCTATTGCTGTGGCCATTGGTTAACCAACAACAGAGCAACCAATCGCGGACTTGCTGTTGGTTTATTCTACTTTAAGTGAATGGTTTGTCGCGTGCATTTAAAATGAATAGTTAATGTTTATTGCAGTAAGGAAATTTACATATATTATAATTTGATTCAAGTTTAATCTTGGTTCGACGTCAACTTGTTAGTTTTTCTAATCTTCCTGATCGACGTTTGCTTTGCGGGAAGATTATAAGAAATCTCCTCTAAAGAGACGCCTTTGTTCAGCGGTCGACGTATTCAAGTTGATGATAGACGTCTGGATAGATTTTATCTAGGAGTCTTTGTTATTGCCTACCTTTGTCTGCCTTTGTTTGTTATTGTATAATCATTTTCCTGTACATTTTGACACATATCACGGAGGAGCGATACGTTGTTACAGCGACGGTTAGTACGCTATAAAGATATTTATTGATTCTGAAATCTGTTTCTTATGATGATACACAAAAGGTCTCAATTCGGTTTGCTAACAGATAGATAACCAATGTCTGTGCACAATACTCGGGATAGGTCGTTGTCGTGTTCCACTTTCATCAACATTCGATGTCTTTCAGTTAACATGATAATGACTTTGTATTCAATCAAGTTGTCAATGGCTTTAGTTTCCAACTTTAACACAGCGTTTATAGTTTGAAACATTTGTTACGTTTGTTTGACAATAATTTAATTTGTAAAATACAAATGACCGCCTTAGCAACGTACGTAACATTTTAAAATCTTTAACATTCTGTGTATTCTTACCGGACAGTTTGGAACGGAACTAAAACCTAATACGGCACGTAATAAAAATAAAATACATACGATACGTTTCCTGTGCACGGCACGCTGGTTCCGCAGTGACTCATATTGGTTCCGGTAAGTATTGACTTTTGACAGCAACTCGTGCCTGGCCACGACCTGCAAACAGTCAAACACCACACGTTTACCCAGGGGTTCATGTTTACAATATAACTCTTACTCCACAATAAAAAATTATAGCGGACAGTTCACAGAACGTCCAGGACAATAATTTAACGCTTGTAAATATCGAGTTAATTAAGTACTCGAGTCATTAACTAAAAATCGCGGGTTACTCACGTGAATATACTGAGAAAAGCTCTACTAGTTTCGAACCACAGAGGGGTCCTTCCTCATGAGCAGCGTGCGCGGTCGCGGCGATGTCGTACAGCCTACTCTTTTCTCAGTATATTCACGTGAGTAACCCGCCATTTTTATTTAATTTAGTGGTAACTATCTCACGATAGTTATTATAAAAAGTCAGTCGAGTCATTTTAAAGTGGCCAAAATCGTGAACTTTAGTTAAAAATTATAATTACCTGAAAACAGTTCAAGTTACTACCAGCATAAACATGTTTCATTATCAACACCTGATGAGTTTACATAAATGTTCGTTACCGAACACAAATTCTCATAAATGTTCGACGTCGAAATATGGGAGTAAATTCGAACGGAATAAAAGCAAACTACATTTATCAGAAAAATAGGACCACATTTGCCTGAACGCTCAGAATGTATTGTGTTCGCACTAATTGAATAATTACATAAAGCTTGCAATTACGAACCGTAAGCTTATCAAGACCTCACTTTAAATAGGCAAAGACATTTATCTTTTATTTTTTAATTTGATTTTATTGTTTTACTTAATTGTTTATTTAGAGGTTGGTTCGACAAAGTTAATGAAACATGATCTGGATTGTTAAAACATAATGCAATTGGGGGTTACGAATACATGTCACACAGATTTCAAAAATAAGTAAAAACTGTGTCATGCTGAAAAATATTACTGCGAAATGCAACTCCATATTTTTGTAATAAATGTTCAGAGCTCACATTAAAGCTATTACGAAGGCTTAAATGGCACCGGACTTTAGTCTGTAATCTCTTTTGAAAAAGCTTTTGAACCGACCTCTAACAGAATAGTATTACGGAAACCTCAGAAGTGAGAAAGTAGAAACTAATACAAATGAGAAAAACACGAGAGCTTGCAGTGAATTGAAGAACACGAATTGACTTTTAAATGGAAAAGCACTAAGTAGAGCATTCTTTCTTAAATTGTTCATTGAAACACGCGAAAGTGTTCTTGTTCAGAAGAATTATAGATATTTCCTGAACCGATTTCCTGGGGGCCTCAAGATTGATATTTAAAACCTTAGGATAGTTGTCTCATAAAACCATGAAATAGCTTCCCATCCTTTATATCAACGGCATTTCATCCGTTAACGCTCAACAGAGTGAAAACAAAAAAAATGTAAAGCTATCGACTCTGACATTGGCCTAATTATATCAGTGTTTACGTCAAGCCGCAAGCCCATACACAGTCTCAAATAATTTATTCGCTCGGTTAACCAGCTTTTCGTTTGTACTAGTTCTCCTAGCTTCTTCAGGTTGCATATCAAAACTACTCACTCAAAACGAAACTTCTAAGTACTAAGTAGTGAATTTGTAGCACTTAGTACTTACATATACGTGAGATATGAAACTCCGACTTATAAGCGGTGCTATTTAAACATGGCAACACGTGGCGTCTGGCATGAATGGCGGATAGTGTGGCATGAATAGAAGATCGTCTGCCGCAGACAGGTTCTACTTCAAACAAAATATGTTTTACGATAAACCCCAAAATATTTAATAGACAGTAAAAATTATCAAACAGGTTATGAAACAAAAATAGACTTGATAAATTCAATTAAATAAGTAGGTCAACAAAGCATAAATAGAAGGAGGACAGAATTAAGTAACCAGTGTATAAATGGATGTCGTGTTTGAACGGAATCAGACAACTAATGACTGTTATCTGTAATTATCTGATCGCTACGATAATTGGACTAAATGAGCGGAACATCCACCCTGCTTCCTTTACTAATAACTGCCACAACATTATACTAGGTATTGCCTACAGCGTTGTTTACGTTAATATACATTTTGCCAGTCAAATTATACTGATAATTATGTATGTATAATGTATATTATGCCAGTCAAAGTACAATTTAGTTGAAGCTTAGTCCTTAAAATTGGACCGGTTAAAAAAGTCCGACTCGCACTTGTTTGGTTTTATTGATGTACGCTTGTTGCGATCACGTATTACACAAAGGATTGGGTACAGCTAGAAAATATTTTAATACCGTAGGATAACAAAATAAGCCCAGTGGAAATACAATGAACCGCGGGAACTTATGCCAAACAAAAGCATGTCAACGGACAATGACATTTTTTATTCACGCGAACTTGTATCTGATAATTCTGACATAGGCATTTTAAACGTACCTGTTATATGTTTTAAAAATTGAGAGGACCACGATATACTATATATATCAAACAATTACAATATTTTTCTGCTTATTTTTACCTTAAACAATTAGGTTTGAAGAAAAAGAAAACGCTTAACAGTAGGTTTACCTATCGCAATATGAAATACGAACTTTATTGTCCACTAATAAGGCTTAATTCCTAGCTTATAGATTAAAATAAATAAATTCACATTATGGTATACAAACCAGTATGAATTTACATCCAATATGAATTTATTATTACTAATAATATTGGCTTTTTAACGCAAACAAAAAGATGCATTTCATACGGAATATCAATCTGGCATAATCCGCAATAATAATAATAATTTTACTAATTGAAACAGTTTTAATAATTTAACAGCTTTATTGTATGAACGTGAACGCTCACTACGCTCAGTTCATAATATTATTGTGTTATTTCAATTATTCAATCACACCGAGCCATCGGTGCCGATTATAATGGTTTTTGGAAAGAGAATATTGATATCACCTTATTTTTATGTATAAAATGGGAAAATTTATGAGAATTTTATGTAGAGGGATGGGTTGGCAACACAAAGAGTTGCTAACGACAACAATTGAAGCATCATGACGCTTGTTCGAAATGAATATCAGTAATTGGTTTGCACGTATGTCATGGCCGTCTGTGAAAGATATTAAAGGATTACGGCGGCACTCAGTCAGCTCTAACACTAGTATTAGATATGAACCAAAACAGCAATCATATATCGCAGGCATTAGTAATAGAGTTGCTAAAAGCTTTGATGGTTTAGGTATTTACTTTATAGTACGTAAAACAAACATTGATAAACCTATTACATGAGCTTTACGGGAGGCGAAAAATTTAATCCGATACCAAGGTTACTGAATGTTTTTAAAACACTATCTTAAAACGGTTACCCTATTGACTTCTCAAACACACGATAGTGTAGGTAGGAGCCACGGAAATGTTGCTTTTCAAACATCCTGTATGTATTGATTTTCATAGCAAATATTTACTAGCTGTTTTAACAAAATACAGATATGCGTTGCTTTTAGCTGGCGGTTTCGTGTACAGAAAAGCAAGTGATTTAAGTCAGTGACTGTTTGAATGCTACAAATAAGGTACCTATAACTTATCTACTTATAGCAGCACGTTTTATTAAAACCAAAAAACCATTTGAGCCTCTCCACACGAAATGTTTTGACCAACAACGACGACCAACCATATACTTAAGTTCGCCATGTGTACATTTGAAATGTAATAATTCAATATTAGGAAGAGTAGCGACTTGTAGAATACAGCAGGCATGCACTGCTATAGTCTACAGAGAAGAGAGACCGGTAATTGCTAAATTTATTAGTTTATATGCGCCCACGGCACAAAAACAGCGTTTCGAGTGGAATCACGTTTATAAATTGTGCGGAAAATATGTATGTATATCTTGTTGATATGGTGGAAGTGGAACATCTTCCTTTCTCATAATTAATACGTTCTATGCCCTACAGGCTTCACTACTCCGTACTAATATTAACTTGAAATAATTCCATTTAAGATCAAACGAAAATACTAAATCGTTTGGGAGCGCGCCGATTGTTTGCAGCGTTTTACTAATTGCCACTGGCATTTCAATTAGTATTTGTGCTAATTTCCAAGGTGGGACTTTAAATATAACAAGCATAATCGACCGTGACACACTAAGTAACGACTGGCCGGACATAGGTACGGCCGGAATGGTCCGTTCCTTTGTGACTATTTTTAACGTGCTGGGCTAAAACTGGACTCTATGTCAGTTAATAGCTTAAAGTAATTGAAGCGATATTTCAATGCAGAATGATTCCAAAACGATTTTATATCAAGACATGCATCTAAACTTATAGATAGAAATCATTATGATAAAAAACTACTAATTTCATATTTAAGCATCAAGCAAAGTAAGCAAGTTGTTATTTTAAAAAGAAGTTTGATTTTAGCAAAATGATATCAGTAGATATTTTATTTAGACTCGGTACCCCTTGTAGATGTTAATGGTGACCACCTGGGTGGTATTAGTGAGGTGAGGATCCCAAACTCCTTACCTTCTCCCCAAAGTTAGGCGGCTTTGAAGGTTTTCTCCGTCATCAAAAAAAAGTACCTACCCTAAGCGGTTTAGGTGTCATAATGTTGGTACCTAACGAACTTTCGTATTAATAACAATACTTAAAATTTTGGCCCATTCCTCTTAAAATAAGTTTTGTCTGGAGAAATATAGGTATTGAGGTCCGCGTGTTAGACACTAAAGTTGAAACGAGCAATTCAAGCCGTTGCGAAGTTTGGAGACCAACAAAGTGCCGTTGATTCCGACAACTTTATAAAACAGACTACGAAGTTGCTGTTTCATCATAGTTCGAGCCATTTCACGAAACATTGGGTTAGGTGACAAAACTGTTTTTAAACGATAAATAAATCAAAAATGTACAACAGAGCGGTGTTACACTTTTATATTCAATTTTATTTTCAGTAAAAGTAAACATAAAGCGACGAAGCTGCTCAAAATAAAACGATTTAACAAACGGCGTGGTCACACCGCTAGCGTTTAACTCTTACATTTATTTATTTTACTTTTATTAGGTATGGTTTTCGGTAGC